AAAAAAGAAAACTACTTAAGTCCACATAAAAACTTGCACACAGACATTTATAACAGCTTTATTCATAATTGCCAAAACTTGGAAGCAGACGTCCTTCAGTAGGAAAGGATAAATAAATGTGGTACATTGAGACAACAAAATGTTTTTCAGCACAATAAAAAACTATCAAACTATGAAGAGAACTGGAGGGATCTTAAATGCATGTTACTGAGTGAAGGAAGCCAATCTGAAATGGCTACATACTATACCATCCCAAATATAAGGTATTCTAGAAAAGACAAAACTATGGAGAGAGTAAAAAGACTAATGGTTTATAGGAGTTGGGGAGACGAGAAGGATGAATAGGAGCATTTTTAGGGCAACGAAGCGATTCTGCACGAAGCTACCATGGTGAGTATATGTTAGTTGCACAACGCTAAAAGTGCATTTAAATGTAAACTGTGGACTTTGGGTGACAACGATGTGTCAATGCTGCTTCATTAGTTGTAACAATAATATACACTTGAGCCATCTTTCGTGGACACTCAAATGTTATACTCTGGAGGATGTTATAGTCTGGAGGCTGTGTAAAGATATATGGGAAATCTCTGTACTTTCACCTCAGTTTTGCCATGAACCTAAAACTACTCTAAAAAGTCTACTTTTAAAAAAAAATTATTTATCTATTTTACAACTATAATCAGAAAAGTGAAGACTGAGGAATAGCTACTGGATTTGGCAAAGTGGGCCCTGTTTGACTTTGCAGAAGCTGGTCGGTAGAAATATAATCACAGTGGTTCTGCAGTGAACAGGAAGTAGGGAAGTGGTCATGAAAAGTAAAGGCAACCCTTTGCAGTGGCCAGACAGGGAAGGGACAACTCTTTGCAGGTGGGGAAGGTGCAGGGCAGATGCCCCATGATTGTAGGGGTCAAGAGGGTTTTGGTGTTGTGTTTTTAAAAAGATAAGAAAGTATTGAAAAAAGAGAAAAGGATACTAATGCTGGGCTTTGCATAAAGATTAGATAACTTGGGACACTGTCACTGCAAGAAAATAAAAACCATCTGACAATTGTTAGCCAAACTTTGAATATGGGTGAAGCTAGATCTTAGAAGGAAATAAAGAAATAAGAATCATCTCTACCCCTGTTCTTAGCATTTTCAGTTTGGACTCAGCTGGTCCTTCTTCAGGTTTTGTTCTCCCCTTCCTAGTTTCTAGGGTCCATCCCAGAAAATGAGTTAATCTGAATCAGAAGTATAACAGAATTTGGCATTAGAGGACGGAACGGACCTTTTTCTTTCTTTCATTTTAGTCCTGGGGCCTGAACCCAGAGATACTCTACCACTAAGCTGCAACCTCATTTGTTTTTTGTTTTGTTTTTGTTTTTAATTTTGAGACAGGGTTTAAGTTACCCAGGTCTGCCTTGAACTTGTGATCCTGCACTAGCCTCCAAGGTCACTGGGATTATAGGTTTGCATCACCTCGCCCAGCAGAGCTATGTGATCATTGAAGATTCATTCTTTTCAGAAGCATGCTAACAATTTATAATATAAAGTACAGAGAATCAGAGGCCACAGTGGTTATAACACATGACAAAAGCTGAAATTTGACACCCTATCTCTTGGTGCATGTTCAAAACTGTTTCCACATCTGTATACCCCTCACCGCAAGCTTCCATGCTGTTGGTTACAACAGCCAGACCTATCAGATGAGACATTATTGCAGAATGGGAAAGGGGAAAAAACCTTCTGTGCCTTCCTGGGAATAAGATGGTTTGTGGATATTTGGGAGCTGTACCTAGAAAGAGAATCCACGAAAGATGGCTCAAATATATACTGCATTCCACTAATTAAAGCAGGCCTTGCTGGGTAAGGGAAATATTAATATTCCCCTTCAACCCAAATGATAGAAGGATGTTATGTCCCAAGGGAACATTGGTTTGTCATCTCTTGAAGATGCTGAGCTAGGATTCACCTCTGCAGACCAAGCAGTGAGCTTGCCAGAAAAATAAAAGTAGTTTTGGTCTTAGTTCTTTGGAAACTGGAGCTGGTATAGTATAAAGGGAGATTTATGCAGCCTCTGATATTAAACTTCATTTAACTCTTGCCTGAAAACAGAACTGGTGTTGAATAATTACAGTAGAGACAGGAGGAAAAGCAGAAAGATGAGCCTGTTCCCATAAGGAAAGAATGCCAACGGCTCCTCTAGGAGGAAAGCGAGAGATAAGTGTGATCCTGAATTTCTCATAATTATAGGAGGAAAAAATGTCTATGCAGTAGATATTAGGAGCCATATTCTTGCATAACAATTTAAAAAGACCTATTGGAAATTTTTGGTCATAATTCTGAGCAAAGGAGACACAGTCCATAATGCCTAGTATTTTTTTTATTTCATCTCAGCTCTAATGATTTCCAGGGTGAAGAGCTGGTCAACATTGAGCAGGATTCTCTAAGGAAAGAAGAAGGAGAAGACATGGAGGATGACCAGGACACACATCAGAAAGGGTAGAGCGTTTAAACTAGGGAATAATAATGCCTGGGCTCCTATTTGTATAAGTCCCTTTGTTTTATCCCCTTCTAAATTTTAACACTTGTTATGATTTATTAGAAACTGTCACCACTCCCATCTCCACCCACGCAACACCATTTTCAGAAAAATTAATGGAGCTCTAGGAGGATCGATGTAGTCAATTCAGACGGATTGATATTCTGGGAACCCAATATCTAGATTTAAATTCACCCAGGACAGTCTTCTAATTAAAGGTGCAAATTACCAACTAATCGCTCTAGTCCATACAAAAGTAGTTAATTTATCTTCTCAATGTCAATCAATAACAATCAATTTCTCAAAACTCAATCCACTTTAAATCTCAACAAACTGTTGCTCTTACTATGTATCCCAAGGTTCCTACCATAATGTAGGAGAGGCAAGATTATTACCTTTAATTTTGGGACCAGGAAAAAAGCTCAGAGAAGTGACCTACCTAAGGTCAATCAGCCAGAGAAAAACAGAACTAACTTGGAATTTCAGCCTTTGATCCCTAGTCCAAGATTGCATGGTACTCTTATGATAACACTATAATATTTATCCATTTTGGAAATCCCACATAAATTTGATTTAAAATTCTACATCTCTGAAAGAATATTTTTCCCTATAATGGGAATTAAACCCAGGGGCACTTTACCATGAGCTACATCCCATCCCTTTTAATTGTTTATTTTGAAAAATTGTCTTGCTAAGTTGCTGAGGGTCTCACTAAATTGCTGAGACGGGTCTCAAAATTATGATCCTCTTGTCTCAGTCTCCTGAGTTGCTGGAATTACAGGGATGTGCCACCTTGCTGGGTTTGAGGAATATGATTTTTATATATAAGAAGGTATCTATAGAATCAGTCAGAATTAGAGTTGGGAGGTCTTGTCACATATAAACCATCAAGAATATTAACCACCAGAAATTGAATTTCATCCTTTATTTTACTTTATGATTTTTTGACCCAGAAGGGGCTGAGAAATTCTCATGGTCAGATATACTCAGGTTTCACTGTGTTATTGGTACTGAAATAACCACCAGGCATTTGGAAATTGTTCAGCCTAGATAAACCAAATAACCTAAGTGTGTTTCTCCAACCACTCTGCTCTGTGGAGTCAGGTTGCTATAATGAACAACACACATCCCCTACAATTAAAAATAAAGTCAACCTACAACAGACAGATGTACCCTATTAAATGTCACTCTCTGTCACTGATACTTTTTTTTTAAATACCATATCCACAACTGAGGGTGGATATTATTAGCTTTTCCTAAAATAGATCATGAAAAACATGGTCTTTATTCTACTTTTATTCACCCAAGATCTTCCAGAGCATTTCTAATGCTCAGTACTCATATTCACACACACATCACAATGAGAGTAACATGCAATAATACCCATCATTATGACTGATCTATTCTGATACTTCCTATTCAGAAGGACTCTCATGATTTACCATATTTTACCACATAATCTTCAGATTTTATGTGAAAATTTTTTGCAAAAAAAGTGTGGTACAATTGTTACATGAAGCCTTTAAAAGAAATTGTGCTGCTATTACTTACAAATGATTTATTACTAAATTGTCTTTGGTACAAGATTAAGTTGCACAGAGTTCTCATGAATATACGTTACTGTGGTGGTGACAATTCTGCAGTGAAATATGGGTTATCTCAGCTTTTAGTTAGTTACTCATCTTCCCTGCTCTATTCCCAGGAACATGTTTTCTACATCTAATTCCTCAGGGTTTGGCACACTTGATTCTGTGAAGATTAATCCAACCCATGGCTGATTTTCGTCTAAAATGAAATAAATTTCCCATTTCTATTTTGT